TCTAGGAGAAGGATAAAATTTGAGAGTCTTTACTCTGGTATTCTGATCTGAAGGCTCACGGCATGCCAATTGGCTCAGAAAAGGTCATGTACCCACCACTGAGCCAATCATGGTGTCAGAATGGCTCTGATGGGCTTACACCCACAGCAGAGATACAAAAACTGAAAATGGGAAAGTGGTGATTTCCCAGACAGAAAGGAGAGTGAGTGGTGTTTGATGAGCAGGCGAAGTACAGATGTCTATTCTCTTTACTTGCAAGTGCTACAGTTATCAAGACTCAGAAATTTAGTGACATATTTAACTCTAGACACTCTTATCCACCCCTCATTAAGGAAATGTTTGCAAGCCTTCCATGACCTTCTAGTTGACTGCCCCTACCATGCACTGAGAGTGCCATCTTTTATAAGCCATGGAATGCCGCCGGGATTATCTGGGTGGCTGCTATGCCTCAGCATAAAAAAAGTGTAAAAATAGCTGATTCGCACTCTTGCTCTGTCACCTATTCAGTATACAAACTTGTATTAAGTTTCTTAACCTCTCTGTGTCTTATTTTCCAAACATGAGATCAGTGCCTGCCCCACAGGGATACTGGGACAACTGAAAGATGTCAATATGTAAAATGGTTAGTTCTGGCTTCTAGTTGTACTCACCAAGCGCCCTTCTCTAGGGTGAAAAAGGGAAATCTGATATGGAAGTAGCACTGAGGGAAATACAGTTTACAGATCTTGGGTACTTGAACATGCTGCTCTAGCAAGAGACCTGTATAAATAAAGGCAAAAGCCTTAGAGCAGGGAAGGAACTCAAGAGGCAGTCTCAGAAGTTCCAGTCTTTAGACTGGTGTTGCAAAGTTAAATCCATCTTATTGATGACTCACAAAGAGGTGAAGTGTGTTTCTAAGAGTTTGCAAAATTAATTCCATTAATTAAATATTTACTTATTGAGCATCTGCTATGTGCCAGGTGCTATGCCAGATGTTTGGGGATGCAATAATTACTGAGAAAAATTTTGTGTCTCTCTTCATCAAGAAATGTAGTATGGTGGGGAAGACAGAAATAAAGTAAATGATATGGGCACAGGCAAAGACTTCATGACTAAAACACCAAAAGCATGGCAACAAAAGCCAAAATTGACAAATGGGATCTAATTAAATTTAAGAGCTTCTGCACACCAAAAGAAACTGTCATCAGAATGAACAGGCAACATACAGAATGAGAGAAAATTTTTGTAATCTATCCATCTGACCAAGGGCTAATATCTAGAATCTACAAGGAACTTTAATTTACAAGAAAAAAGCAACCCTATCAAAAAGTGAGTGAAAGATATGAATAGATACTTCTCAAAAGAAGACTTTTATGTGGCCAAAAACATGAAAAAATGCTCATCATCTCTGGTCATTAAAGAAATGCAAATTAAAACCACAATGAGATACCATCTCCTGCCAGTTAGAATGGCAATCATTAAAAAGTCAGGAAACAAGAGATGCTGGAGAGGATGTGGAGAAATAGAAACACTTTTACACTGTTGGTGGGAGTGTAAATTAGTTCAGCCATTGTGGAAGACAGTGTGGAGATTCCTCAAGGATCTAGAACCAGAAATACCATTTAACCCAGCAATCCCATTACTGGGTATATACCCAAAGGATTATAAATCATTCTACTATAAAGACACATGCACATGTATGCTTACTGCAGCACTATTCACAATAGCAAAGACTTGGAACCAACCCAAATGCCAATCAATGATAGACTGGATAAAGAAAATGTGGCACATATACACCATGGAATACTATGTAGCCTTAAAAAAGGATGAATTCATGTCCTTTGCAGGGACATGGATGAATCTGGAAACCATCATTCTCAGCAAACTAACACAGGAACAGAAAACCAAACACTGCCTGTTCTTACTCATAAGTGGGAGTTGAACAATGACAACACATGGACACAGGGAGGGGAACATCACACACTGGGGCCTGTCAGGGGCTGAGGGACTAGCGAAGGGATAGCAAGGTGGTGGGGGCCTAGGGGAGGGACAGCATTAGGAGAAATACCTAATGTAGATGATGGGTTGATGGGTGCAGCAAACCACCATGGCACGTGTATATCTATGTAACAAACCTGCACATTCTGCACATATATCCCAGAACTTAAAGTATAATAATAAAAAAAGCAATTGTGTTTTAAGGTTGAAGTATTCTAATGATATAAGAGACACTGAGGAGAAGCAACACATCATAAATTGATACAGGTGTTCAATACACCTCACCTTCCCCACCCCACCACTCTCACTTCAGCTTGCAAGAGCTCCAGTAAGGCTGAGATGATTTTTACCTACATCATCACTCATATCTGTACACCACAAGGGCAACATACTTAATTTTCTTTCGGGTATAGTTATTTGTTGTTTTGGGCCATGTCAGTGGAACCAGTAAGTAAATAAGTAAATAAACTTCATCTATAGCACGTCATAATAATCACCTTTGCCTGGCGCTTGAGTTTTCCAAGTTTATCTTCACATATTTTATTGCAGTTCGTCTTCCCAAATCCTACTATTAGTCCACAGAAGAAACCTAGATTGAAAGAATTAGGTAATTTTTCCAGGTCAAAAATAACAAATAGAAGAGCCAGAACTACATTCTTCTGACTCTGACTTCAACCCCAGTATTCTTTCTGGAGACTGTTATTCCCATTAGGATACAGCAGCAATTTTTTCTCACCCCAGTATCTGTGATACTTGGCGCAGTGCCAAATACACATTGATGTTCAATCAATTTTTTTTAAATTTATGAATGAAAAAGCAGTAACTAATAGAACTTTATGAATTACCTAATTTGATCCTTGAATTTGGATAGTGAAACAGAAACCCACTAAAATTAAATAAATTACTCAAGAATAAATTGTTTTAAGCTTTAAGCAAGTTTCCCTTGGTAGTAATCCATTGCTGCCAGCAGTTTTTATTATGATTGTTATTTCTATTTTATAGTTTGAACTCAGCCAGCTCTAGTATCAACTCATAACTCTTACTGTAATTGCTCAATAGAAAAACAAATATCCTGGTGGTTAAAGAAGGGAAAATAATGAACAACATCATGCATAGTGGCCAAAGAAATTTTGCAAATTGAGTCATTTTCTAGGTAACTAAAGGAACAATTAACCCAGAGAAGAACAGAAAACAAGCATACTGTTGAAATAACAGTGAAGGATAGGTGTCCCATTTCCAACAGGTTTACTTTCTATAAGTGTTAGAAAGGACTCCCCACTCCCAGCATTTGTATTCTAATGGCCAAGGTTTGAATTTGAGCTCCATCATGTAGTACCTATGGGGCTTTAAGAAATTTGGTGAAGGCCCTCACCTATAACATTGGGGAAATAAATGCCATTTCCAAGAGATGTTGTGAGCATTCAATGAAACAGTTGCTGCAAAGCACTGGTACTTAAAAGAACCCTTTAAATGTTCTTTTCTAGGTCAAGGGAGCCCCCCCAAAGCCATTACCTGGTCCTTCCTTGGCAGATCTTTTATAACGTTTATTTAATTTTGTTTCTAAATCATATAACTTTTACAAATAATTTTAATAATGTATTGGTTTAGTATTTCCTCTAAGCACAATCATACCATAAAGCAAACCTGCAGAATGTCTGATCCGTAGGCAGAGATTAATTGGTCAATTATTATGTCCCAGCATATTTTATAGTTTCTATTCCTCAAAAGATTTTAGATTTGAATTTTAATACATGAACATTAAACCACTGTTGAAACCTAATTGTTTATATATAATCTTAGCAGCATTCTTTTTTGCCTTTTGCATAATTCATGAAGCTCAGAGCTTCGTTTCTTCCAATTCAGTGTTTGGTTATATGCCTTGTTTCCATATATCAACAGAGACTATCATTGACTATTTTTTCCTTATAATTTCAGAAATTTTACTGGTAATTGTTATATCTTGATTCTCCACCAAAATAAATATGCTTTTTTATTAATAAAAACTTGTTCCATCTAGGTTTTATTATCTGTAGCAGTTGAGGCCTCTTTAAAATAAGGCATACAAATCTTCCCTTCTTAACACAAGAAAGAACATTACATAGTAATTTAGTGTTTGGGAATCATGATATCTATGTATCCTTTGCTTTTAGCTTTGGAAGAAGAAATTATCCAAGAGAGATGATTTGACTATCAGCATAGCCAACTGATTGTACTCCTGAGGCCCAGAATCCAATTGAGCACAATCAGCTGCAGGCTGGTTGCTTCCTCTCTAATCCTACCTTTTTCCCTTTCTTCTTCTCATTCCTCCCCAACAACAGTGGATCTGGCTGTTAGGCTCCTGTTTTTGAATTTCTCCTTATTCTGAATGCTGTGGTTACTTTGGCAAGTCACATGTGTCCTGCATTTGTATTCTTCAACACCATTTCTTTATCCTATTTATATTGACATTGCAAATTTAAGGTGACATCTCATAACTGGAGATTTTAAGAAACATCAATTAGATGAAATTGTACCCAAAAAATGCCTTACATAAATGGGCAAGTACTTGATAGTTACCCACTATATTTAGTTCTAGTTTTGTTATTAATTCATCTATAATTAGGCCACTATTGTGAGCACAATTCAGTAATTAATGTCCTAACACTGCTCCATGCCTAGCACAGTTTAATTTTTATGTGTTCATATCAAGACTATGAATTCTTCAAAAGGGTGCCATGCCTTCCATTTCTCTGCACACCCTAAGTAGAACTAATGAAAATGATACTAGCAACAGTCTATTATGTAATTACATCATTACAGCAATCCTCTAGGGTTGGATTATTGTATCATTTAATAAATGGGAAACTGAACCTCAAATTGCTTTAGTGGTAGAGTCTTAATTCAGACTCTGGTAATGTAATCACAAAGGTAGCTCTCTTTACCGTTATTATAAATCCCTTAAGTGCTGATCATAGTGCCTTGCCTAGTAAGCACCTGTAAAGCTTCACTGTTCTGATTGTCTTTTTGATTCTTCTCCCTTGCAGATGGACCCCCATGAGAACATCTTATTGAGCACTCTTGAGATAAAAAATGAAATGGCCACATCTGAGGCTGTGATGGGACTTGGAGACCCCAGGAGCACAATGCTAGCCTATGATGCCTCCAGCATCCAGTATCGGAAAGCCGGGTTGCCCAGGCATAGTTTTGGCAGAAATGCTCTGGAACGACATGTGGCACAAAAGAAAAGTCGCCTGAGGAGACGTGCCTCCCAACTGAAAATCACCATCCCTGACTTGACTGATGTGAATGCCATAGATCGGTGGTCTCGCATATTCTTCCCAGTGGTTTTTTCCTTTTTCAACATCGTCTATTGGCTTTATTACGTGAACTAAAACATGGCCTCCCATGGGAAGCAAGGACTAGATTCCTCCTCAAACCAGTTGTACAGCCTGATGTAGGACTTGGAAAACACATCAATCCAGGACAAAAGTGATGCTAAAATACCTTAGTTGCTGGCCTATCCTGTGGTCCATTTCATACCATTTGGGTTGCTTCTGCTAAGTAATGAATACACTAAGGTCCTTGTGGTTTTCCAGTTAAAACACAAGTGATTTGTACACATGCTGGCAAGACAGCCTGAGTGCTCCATGTTGTCTGTTTAGTATGCAGCCTGCTCAGAGGGGAATAATTTGGAAGATATTTTCAGAAGGCTCAATAGCATTGTCACTCATTTGGCCAGATACTCCCCATCTTCCTTTTTAAGGTTGGCGTGCTGTTGAGATGGCATTGTGCTTATGAAACATTGTCTGTAATGCCATGCAAACATGTTACTTGAAGATGATCTGTGCCTGTCTTATTAAAATGATAATGGTGTCATGGGAAGATTATTCCCACTAGATTCTAAAGGATTCTCATGTGATTGGAGCAGGCTAGGGGAATCAAGACAGAGACTCAGGAAGCTGATTTGGCCAATCTCTTTGCTTGAGCACAGAGAATCAACTATGGTGTCTTTCATCTTGGCATTTAGAGGTGAGGAGACTTCTGAACATTATCGTGCATGGTGGCCAAGGAAATTTTTGCTAAAAAGCTATTTCCTAGGTGGTTAAAGTAAGAGTTAACAACACAGAGCAGAGTAGAGAATCAGAAACGACCATTGTAACAAAAATCAAGCAAGCAAGCAAGCATGACCCTTATCAGTTCCACACAGCATCGGGTCTATACGTACTGTGTCTAGTGGCAAAGGGCGAGTAAGAGGGGTTGTTTTTCCAACATCACAAGCTTTGACAGCATACCTAAAGAGGTTTTTATAGTTTAATCAAAGATAGCCATGAAATACAAAACTTAGAGAAATGAGAATTGTATTAGATATTCAGGTTAGATTCAGAGTCATTCAAATATACAAATATAGAGCACAAACTAGCAAACAGATTGTTTTTCTCAGACTATGTCGGCTGTCTCTGCAATTTTTGTCCCTATAATTTTACTTCTGAATTTAATAGGGTATTTCAAGAGAAGGATTTGTTCATCACTTTAAAGAATTCATGGTCCTCTCCAGCTTTTTGGCTTCCAAAATTCTGATTATATTTTTAGGAGACTGGCAAAGTACGGCTTTGGAGAGATTGAGTGAACTATATTTTCTTATGTGCAATGAAATTCACAATTCTATTTTCCACAGCAAACAATACTTCAAGGAGTATGAACACAAGGAGAGTTAATTTGTGAGTTCATTGAGTTTGGGCTTGATTTTCTTAAGAGTGCTTTGGTTGTATGTATTGGAATCTGCCTAATCAAGGAAAAGATGAAAACTAGTGGAAAATGACAACAAAGCCACATTAACATGATAAATGTTATGAGCCTCAGTTGGTATTGCAGAAAAATACGTAACTGTTAACCAGGCAGACATGATGGCTTTTTTTTTTCTGCTTTTAAATTATGTCATTGTGCTTCTTTCCATACTAATTGGATATATGCATTCATATGTTGGACAGGAAAGAGAATAAGCTAATATGTCATACTTCCATCAATATGAGGTTTATATATTGCTTTTCTTATACAAAATAGCGAATTGCTAAATTTTCCTTCAAGTTTAATTTGACTGAATATTTTCTTGGAAGATGACTTTGCTATTTCATTTTAAAAACAAAGAAACCTCTTCTTTTTAGAGTAACATCCCTAATTGTGCATAGTAACCAGTATCTGCCTGTGGATAATGTATGTTTTCTTGATTTCTTATTTCCTTTATGATTCAGCAGCTTGGAATATGATGGAGTACTATTGTCCTTGCATTCCAACTGTCCAAGAAAAACAACCTTTATCCTTCAGCTTTCTGAATTTGCCCCAAAATGGGATGGTATTTTTGTTTCACCAATGTAGGAAACCTTGGCTCTTATGTTTTGGTTACATAATCTTGAACACCTCTAAGTATAATCTTTGGGCAGAATCTGACCAAGATTCTTCTCATAGGCTCGGAGTAGAGATTCCTCATGTTTCTTCAGGGACATACTTTCTCCTAGGCAATCATTTTGGGGCATCACACTAAGTAAAGTGCCTGCCCCTTGTAACCAGGGGGTAAAGTTTGAATAAAAAACATCAGGAAGGAGCATATAGATAACTCAGGGGAACAACTCCAAAATGCCATTCTGAAAAGGCTCTTCTATAGACAACTCAGAGCCCAAGTGTAGAAGGAGCCTCTTATGTGCAACCACTGTACAAGCCATAAAAATCTTTGATATTGCCATTTATGATTATAAAAAAATTTTAGATGTCAAAGGAAGTCAACAGAGCAATCAAGAACAAAGTGAAGAGAAGCATCTTTGCAGTTTGAGCCTCAAAAGCATATAACCAGGAATTAATTTCTGCTCTCAGTGATAAGAAACAAGACAAAGGAGAAAAGATGGGACCTTAGAAGCAATGCCATAGAGTGAAAAGCATACATTGGCACTCAGTAACCACAGAGATAGAAACAACTGACTCATCATCTCCAGAAATAACCGTAGATGTAGAATTTATTCTTAAATATATGTTTGGTTGAATTGAAATGCAGTCATCAAATGTGAGGAGGGGGGCTAGACCTGATAAGTCTAGGAAGACCAGTCAGCTTGATAGCCAGTTGTTAAACTAAAGGACCACAAAGGTGTGTTTTAGTAGTTCTGATATGGGATTACTATCAGTTTATACATATGTATAGATTTTCTTTTGATTATAAACAGCCAGATAGCCAGCAATTAAGGTGTTTTTTCATCTTTGTGAAATTCATAGACAAATTCTGACTCTAAAATGCACAGTCTACATGAAAATCTTTGATCTCAATCTGTATATATATATATTGTACATGACTGCTAGTAGGTATGAAATGCATTTCAGAATTGAAAACTCATGCAACATAATCATGTGTTTGCATAAGGAATGTTAAAATTCTTTCTACTGCAATTTATTAACAGGGGAAAAGACTCAAGCAGTGCCATCTAGACCTTTTCTCTTCTCATTTCTACAAAAGCAGTGCTAAGTAAAATAATAATAATAATAAAAACGGTTTATGAACCAAAAGACTTTACATTCTAGAATTAGGAACACACAAAAAATCTGTCAGCTTGCAAAAGCACAACATGTAAAGAAAGAGCAGTGGAATGCATAATGGGGAAATGAATCACATTTATATAAAGCAAGACCTACATTAAATTGGCAACTAAGACAATTTCCATTTTCTATAGGTAACTGTGTTCCAGTTTAATGATTACCTTCATGCTCAACAACAAAAACAGCAATGCAACATTAACAAAAACAGGTCTTACAACATATCTACATGTATATATGTGTATATATAGATCCATATAAACATACATACATATATATGTATTCATATGTTGGAAAACAAAAGGAATAAGCTAATATGTTTTGTTTCCTTCATTAAACCAGTATATGAGTATTTTTAATTTGGCAACCAAAAGTCAACACATTGAAATAAGTAATACAGGGTACTGAGCATTTCTCTATCAGCAAATCAATGCCTACAGTTTTTATGAACCATTGCACAGTTTAACTCGACAATAGTACTGTACCCCAGAACATCAGAAGTTAAGTAGTTGTCACATTGCTTGTCCAATTGCTCTCTTTTTTAAGGTAACAAATAACGTTGTCCATTGGTGATTCAAAAACAAAAATGTCTTAAGAAAATGAAAAATGATAAAAATTCCTCCATAGAGGAAGAAAAAAAAATAACTAAACCTCACCATGTTGGTTAGGGTGAAATACTAAGTACTCAAAACTGTAGCAATCATGCCAATTGGCTAAATGTACAGAGTACATGTAATGTGAACAACCATAACTTTCACTGAGCGTGTGTAAATATTAAAACAGATTTCTTAAATATTTTTAACTTCTAATTTGTATTTTATGGTAAGGCAATGTGCTAATTCTGTTTATGGCTTAAATTGATGTGTTATAATATGTAAATAATTAAACATGCTGTAAATGAATAGTCAATAGATACAAATAATTGTTTAGTTTTTTTCTTAATTTTTATTTATTTTTTACAAAGTACAGTTACTGCAGTGACCCCAGCAGAGTAATTTAAACACCCTTTTGTATAAATGGTTTGGGAATCCCAGACAGAAGGGTTTCAGTTTGCTATCACACACACAGTCACATGCAGTCACACACACACACTCAAACACACATAATCTTTTGCTCACCCACACTGTCTCTCTCCCCCTCTATGGGAAACACTCTACTGTTTATGTAGTCAATGTAACAACCAGAGATAGCCTTAGAAATGGCAATTGGGAAAAGCAAAGATGATCATTGATAACTTAATAGAGTTTTTATATGTCAGAGTTCAAGAAACCAAAGTTTGCAACTTAAATCTCAGTTTTCAGAGTAAAAGTTTGTATAGATGGCACTACAGAAAATAAAAATGTTTATTCCTACCAGCTCCAGAAATGTGTTACACAGAATACATACTAGAAGACTTTTTTTTAATAATAGTATTTTGTCCTTAGGTAGTACTGTTCCTTTCAACCAAAGACTCCAGAATTATTGAAAAACAAAAAAGGAAAGAAAAAAAAAAAACAAGAAAATGGGGGGTGGGGGAAGGACGCTGCTTCACACCAAAGGTTTAAAAAATATTTTCCAAATGCACTAGGAACGTTGTAAAAAAACAGAAAGTAGTGAACAGAATGCTAATTAAGATACTGCCCTAGAGAAATCCTTTTTTTTTTTTTTTTTTTTTAAAGCAGCACTTGTAAAAAGCTATTCAAATTTGGAAATTGAAGTAGAATATTTCTGTAGATATATGCAAAATTCTGACATAAAATTTTAATTTGCTTAGAGAAGTTTTATTTGTAATAAAGATAAATGTGATTCAAATGATGAAAAACAAAACTTTATGTTCTTTGAGTTCCCAAACCAAATGTCACTCCCCTGTCACATCCCCTAACCTGATGCCCGTGTGTGTCCTTGCACCATTTGAAGCAAGTTGACAGTTCCATCAGTTTTTGTTTTGTTTTGTTTTGTTTTGTTTTGTTTTGTCTTTTCTTTTCTGGCTCAATAATTTGAGTTCAGCCATGGTCATTTTAAACATAATTAATTCACACAAAGTTGCCTATAATTTAATTTAAATCTCATAGCTTTAAATTTTTTTTTGCATGGGTGTTTAAATAGTTCTGTTATGAATATTGTCCCTGCACAGTTCTAAATTGCCATTTTATTTTAAAAAGTGATATTCTAGTTTCTTCACAATGTAGTGATCATCAGCCTTACTAATTACCTTGTAGCCTTTCTTAATATGCACATAATGCACATTTTCCAATGGCTAGAAAAATGCAAAATACAATGGATATCATTGCATCTATTTTCATGTCTTTCTAAAAACAGAACTACTAAAATCTCTGGGATACATGAGATAGTAAAAAAATGAGGATTATAAATGAATAGCACATAAGAATTATTTTCTTGAATTTAAACTTATTGCAGCCAGTTTCAGCATGTAAATATATAATAATGTTGGCTAGTGTGTAATTCTTGAACTAAGAAATATAAATAAAAATAAAAAGATTGTGTGTGTGGTTTCATTGTGTTTGGAATATTTCTTGTTTGATTTATATTAGTATGTAGTTAGTATGAGTTATGTTGCAGAATGATAGCTTTTGTGAAACGCGGTAAGAAGCCTGGGAACTTGGGATCTACTGGTCAGGCAAACTTGAATTTGAGCATTGATTTGCCTGTTCCTAGGCGAAATGTGTAGTGACAACCTGACTCTCAGTTTTCTTATCCATAAAGCAAAGACATAATTTTACTTTTTAGTTGTGAAGGTGAAATGAAATAAACCCCAAAGATCTTAGCACAGTACAAGCTATGTGGTAAGTGGTCTATAAATAGATGATATTATTTTTAATTATCATCATCACAGAAGATTCTGCATATATCTTACAAATGCTATTACCAGATTTAAAACTTCACCAAAATTAGTTTAGATAGTTTATGTTAAGGATAACTAATTAAAAATTCGGCTTTTATCATGAAAACAAAGGATAAACATGAGGTGTTTATTTAACATTCAACATATATTTGCTGAAGACATTGGGTAATCACTTCTCAAAAACGGATCTTCATTTAATTCTTACCATATTCCTGAAAGTACAAGAAACTTGAGCTCAGGAAGAATAAGTACCTTGCCACTGAGAGAGAAAGAGCCTGGATTTCTACCCAGGTAAAATTCTTTCTACCTCATCATTAAAACTGGGGAACAGATTTGTCCAATTCTCACTCATTTGGGGGAAACATTTCCCAAGAAATATGTGCCAAGAGGCTGCCATCTAGCAGAGTGTGCACTAATACTGGAAATACAGTGGTGAACACAAAGTCCCTGCTTTCTTGAATTATGTGGCACCTCTCAAAGGTAGGGAAACTATCTGACTCCAGTGAATCATTTGATGACAAGCCTAGTGTTTTCAGTCCTACTGACTTTGGAATGTCCAAACAGCATGTTGGTAGCCTCTGCCAGCTTGAGAGAGAGCCTATCAGAACACAATTGTCCAATAAAGTCACAGACTAAAAAGAGTTATGGATGAGTAGTAATAAACGCTACATAAAAGATCCAGCCCTAAAATGGGTGAGACTCAGTTCTTAGGGTCTGTTGTAAATTGTAAAATCTAGGAATATGAAACACCTAAATGTGTGCTTGACATCACTCATGGTAAGTTTCAGCATTTTCTTCCAGCAGAGAGAACACATGTAAGCTCACATACATGTACATACATAAGTGGTGGTGGTGTGTCAGGATGTTAGTGTGTATGCATGTGTGTGGCCCTATGAGCCCATGTAGGCAGGGGAAGATGGGAGGGCCAGTAGGAAATACTACCAGTGATGGGCTTCACAGCTTACAACTTACCTCAGAAAGAGAAATTCTCCAGATGTTGTCCCCCCCCCAAAAAAAAAAAAAGAAAGAAAGAAAGAAAAGAAAAGAAAAAAAACTGGCAGTTGGTGTTGAGAAACTTTCCACCCTACATCTTCCAAAGCTATACTTTCTTAAAGTGGACCCTTTAGACCCTTGCTCTCTTCTGAAACTTGTTTTAATTCTGGTAAGTTGCATGCCATTTTTCATGCAGAATATTTCTCTGAGCCATGAAACCCACCTCCCAGAATAATACCAGTTTAATGGGGACAATTCCCATGTTCCCTAAAATCTCTGTGGGCAATAGCCAAATGTGCAAGTCCTCTCTGACCCTCCACACCACAGCACCCCTATCTCACTATGCAGACTAGAATGAAGAATAATCTTGGGATGACAAATCCCAAAACAATTGTCTTTTCATCAATGCATTGATTTGTGTGTGTTCTGGTCTTTTCTCCTCTTTTGTTTCAAATAAGATTGCTAAGTCATCAGTATTGATTATATATTTGGTTTTGGACTTTAGAAATTTTAATTGGAAAGAAAAGAGAAGCCGCTGAGACATGCAGATGAAGCTTAGCTCTCAGGAAAGTGAAAGTATAAGGGTAAGAGTGAAAGGAGAAGGGGAGCTGTTTCTCAGAGACTGGGATAGGGAAGAAGGACCACAGGCTCCAGAGCAGTAGAGACAATGTCTTCAATGACAGAGACCTAGGGAATGGCAGCCTCAGAGCAGATGGCACAGTGACATTTAGGATACCAGGCCCTGGGCACTGCCCCAGGCATACTGCTAAAGCAGCAGAGTCCTGGGGGCACAGGGCAAGAATCAAACAGACTGGGATACCTCAGCAGAAAGGAAATGTGGCATTTCCTATAGAGCTTCATTTATGAAGTTAGGCTCACCACTACACTTCTGTCTGGGACCTGGTGGGTACCTGGTCTCTCCATCCCAGAAAGTGATATGAGAAGCAACAAGATGAATTTGATATCAGAATTTAATATGCTATTCCTAGAAATAGATATCTAATAGTGTAAAGGTAATGGCTCCAGTTCTGAAAGTTAGAAGACTAATGAGATCCAAAATTTGGGTAGACGATTAATATATCCCATTATCCTGTCTTGCAAACCCAAAGGCATACAGAGGGCTTAGTAGGAATTTTAAGCAAATAATAAAGGTCTGGTGTCATACAATAGGGAGTGGAGGAACCATAGGGAAGTGGGATGACATGCTCTAAAGACCCAGCCACTTTTGAGCCCTGGCTGATTGTTGCCTTGAGGAACTGCAAGCCCAATGTTGCCAGATTCATCTTAGATTGAAAAAGAAAAAAACAAAACAAAACAAAACAAAACAAAAAACCAAAGCATTGAATCCTCCACTTTCCAGACAAGTACAGAATGGTCAGAGAGATACTGGCAAATCAACTTTTCCCATGCCCAGAGGTCTACGTGGATGTTTCTGTAGCTGTCAGCCTCAAGGTGAGCTTGAAGAGGGAGTGTGTTAGGAACTCCCTGAGAGTTTATGTAGACTGAACAAGATTTAGTGCCATTGTAAGTGGAGCAATATCCCTTTCCTGGTGGTTGACACCTTGCAAATGTAAGAAAGTAAAACAGGGCTTTGTTGTGTTCTTGAAAGACAAGAAAGTTATAGAAACATGTTAGTATAAATGGGTACAGAAGATTGCAAACGGAAGTTTACACAGTGTGAACAAAATCTGTTTGGCTTTTAGAGGGCTCACTTTGAGGACCTTTGTCTCTCTCCTCTGAATCAGCCCTTTACCCTCCCAATGTTTCTTGAACTTACCTTGCATTGAGGTGGGCCTGACTGAGACTAACAGACAAAGCCCTCAGAAGAGGGATTTTAGTGAGAAGCTAAGGGTTACAAAGACTGTAAGGAATAGCTAGAAGAGCCTTGGAGAGATACAAGGAATGGACGGGGCGTAGGACTCAAGAGACACTCAGGGAGCCCTGTGCTCACTATATCAACAACTCTGGTGATGGAGAATGGGGCACAAATAATTGAACAATAGAAGTTACTCACATATTTCCACCACTCTGAGACTCAATGTAGACTGGAGTTTAGTCAATGAACCAGAAGTGCAGAACTAATAGAAGGTTATCCAGAAATTTTGGGATAAATCAGCAATGAGGGAAGGAAGGAGCATACAAGTGAGAAGAAGAAATTGGCTCTAATGATAATAATGTATGTATATAGCTGATAAAGAAAACAGCTTGAAAATTGCTAGTCTGCAGTGGCGGGCTGAGGAAACCTGGTCTCACCCATTGGTGTCCCTGGAGAAGACCAGGGAAAGAAGGAAAAAGAAAGCGAAGGAGGGCAGAAAGAAAGAAAAAGAAGAAGAAAAGATGGAATTTGGAAACATTTTCAGCATCAGACCATCCCCAACCATGTGCTGTGAGGTTAATTCACACCATAGAGCAAGGTGTCAATTATCACCACATCTCTGCTGCAGAGGACACAAAATGGCACCACTGGCATTGCATGTCCCAGGGGCCTAACTCTAAGTCTCAGGCATTTCACTCCTTTACTTGACTGCTGCCCAATAGATTACTTACTTCTGTTTAGCTTCTGGGGATACAGCGTTTTTGAGAGTAAAATTAGAAACAAGGCTAAATCTTGACAAGAGAAAAAAAAATGGAGAAGTGTTTATTTCTAAAGCTCTATTTTACGTTGACAGTTTTAGATTTTTAAATGTTATTCTCAAAAGCTGAGAACTGCCAAAGTCTAGACATGTTGGTGTTTCCCTTAATTTATTTGGGTGACAGGGGAGGGTCGTTGAAATAAACAAGTGAGTAACTTAAATATGTCTTCTACAAATTTTTGAAAGCCAACTTTATTGCTTGCTTTCTCTTTTTTTACATATGGCTGTTGCTCTTCCCTCATTTAAATCTATTTTGAATTTATAAATGCAATACTTCTCAATGTGGAAGATTATGGGTTTTCTTTTCTACACCCCCAAACTAAGCCTTGAATACACTTAAGACAACACAGGGAAAGAAATCACGCTTCTCCCATCATCTGAACAACTAGACATGAGAAAGCTGTAGCTTCCAAGTAAGCAAGTGATTTTGTGAACTTGCAGGCTAATAAAGCCCTCCCAAAAGTTATGTGAAACATATGTCAGGGACATGTCAGAGTTCCGGGTACCTCGATATAGGAGAGGCCCAGGGTAGAGGTCATACTACTCATTCTCTGAGTAGACTAAACTGGACTGAAAAAAATGGAAGGTTCTCCCCTTGCCTCGTTCTCTTTACAAGCTTAAGAACACCCTCAGAGGGTATCAAAGCTCCATTCAAGGTTGGCGACCTTTCTGAAGTGGCTTGCCAAATCTTTATTTGTTCATTTTAATTTATCATTCCACTTGCCAGGAATTCATTTGAACATTTAGAGAATCTCTCGCTATATATAAAACAAAGCTATTGATGCATACAAAGTACAAAATGATTAATAAATAAAAAGCTTTTAAATGTTTAAGAAGCTTCATCTAAAATTAAATTAGAGGGGATCTTGCCAGTTTGAAGGGAGATTTTCCCATTCTGGCTTTGGCAGATAGTAGGGACTCTGGCTCCTGGCTAAAGTTTTTGTTCCAGGAACAGTCTTGGAGCACTGGGACAGCCTCTTTGGGATCCCTGGTTTGCAGTGGTCAGGAAAA